AATCATCATCATCATCATCATCATCATCATCATCATCATCATCATCATCATCATCATCATCATCATCATCATCATCATCATCATCGTTGTAAACAGAAAATAAAAAAAAAGATTGAAACTTGGTAGATCTAGTCCTGTTACTATTGTTGCTTTTGTTTTTGTTGTTGTTACTGTTACTGTTGCCATATGCATTATTTTGCTAGTGTGTTGATTATATTATTGTTATAATAATATTGTTACAGTTGTTTTAAAATAATCGTTATTCCCTTTCCTGCTGTTGTTACTGTTTCTTGTTGATGCAATTACTGTTGTTTAATGTTGTTCATACTGAGATGGCTGTCGCGGCTGTGGTTATTTTGGGTACAATTATTGATTACCATATTTAACAAATTATTGCTTGTTATGGAGTTATTTGTTTTTCCGTTCCCTGTATTTCTGTAATTTTAAGTAGTGTGTTGTTAAAAAATGTTTTAAGCTTTTTAAGAGTATCAAATTTTTTACATGCTTATTTGTTAATTTTGTGTAAGGTTTAGCAGCTAAAAGAAAACTATCCAATCCTAGGACCTTAGATAAAACACATGTTATTCTTACAATTAAAAAACATGAAAAAACTTTGATGCCTTCAACGATTACTAAAACGGTAACGACCGACCGCACACGTTACTCAAAACAGTAGGAGGAAATGGAATAACAGAATACTTTAAACTTTTTAACAACACATTTAGGATTAGAGTTAGTTTATCCGCTCAAGGAAAACTACGCTAAAACACGATAATGTATTAGTTCTTACAACTACACATGAAAAAAGCCAAAATATAATTATTCCAACTAAAATTGTAACGACCGACCACACAAGTTACATAAAACAGGAATTTGGAAAAGAAATAGAAAGTATCCCAGCTCACTAGAAAACGTTTTGGTTTCGATAGAGTTTAGCCAGGCAGAGAAAACTATAAAATGCTAGGACCTGTTGTAAGTCACTCACACACACTAGTGCTGGGTCACGAGCGCGAGAACGGAACTGAATCGCCACTCTTTCCTGCGGAACGCGATTCACGATTCACTTCAGCGGAACGCGGAACAGTATCGCCAAACGATTCCCGATTCACTCCCCTGTCGCTGTCACCACCTTCTGGCTTGTTAAACATACTGCTGAGTCGAGTCACGAGCGCAAGAATGGAACCGAACACTTAGTATGGCTCCCCTTATTTTACACAAGATGGTATAGTCCAACCCCCCTATTAAAACAAAACGGGGTCCAACCAATAGACAGAAGGAATTTTATGGAGCCATTGTTTTAGCGAATGGTGGTGTTGGGGGGGGGGGATTTATGGGGGTCACTAATTGAGGTCAGTTGATAGAGCAGCGTAACAAAGGGTGTGGGGCGGAGAGGATGGCGGAACAGCAAGAGTGGGACTCG